TATTTTCCCTCTAGAGTTTATTCTAGGACTACCACAGATACCATTTCTGTCACAATTCACTTTTTCTGAGAATATCTGAGCTGATACACATAATATTGTGTTAGAAAAGCTGATACACTGAACACTTATGAAGATAGTTAGAATATTCAAATAGTTGCATAATGAAAACTGCAATATGGAGCACGTAATTTCGAAGACATGTAAATGGGACCACATGGGGAACATAGTCCCATGGATGGAAGTGGACTCTGAATAGTGCCCTGCAGCTGATATCATATCCTGTGCATGAAGCTCTGCATGATGGATCCAAATAATGATTGTATCAAACCAGAGCAGAGCTCACTGTTCAGTGTAGTTCTAATTGTACATACTGTAAACCACATTTCATTGCTCAGCAATGTACAGTTTTCATAATACACTTATATGATTAGACCAATTTACCATTTATTCCTCCTGTATCATGTGAAATCATCATGTGAAATCTAAAACAGTCTGTCAAGAAAATAATATTTTGGACTTTAATATGAAAAAATGCATGGCAATTTTGTCTTCATATTACAATGAAATGCAAGGCCCTGCTATGTTTAAGTTATATGACAGGTTTAAGTAGGCCAAAGGCCTAACACTGTGCAAGGTTTAAATATGCCACAGACTAAAAATATCAACAGTGAAGTCATCAGGTTTGTCACTCATGGTTATTTCATGGCAGAGATCCCAAAAAGAAGAAGATCCTGTAGATATTATTACACAGCAAAATGAAAAACATTTACCTTTTGTGAAGCCAATTCATGCAGCTGAATAAAAATAGAACTGTTTCTCAGAAGGTGTCCACAATCTCTTTCAGACAATCTTGATTTTATTAATCAGACTGTTACTGTTTTTATTTAAATTCAATCCAGCACAACAGAAAATGATAAGGTCTCAAAGCTGATAGCTGTCATTAGTTACTTTACTCTCTATGCTTTATCTGTCTGAAAATTTATGGAATACAACTATCATCTACAAACAAATTGACATTTTTTGCTATTATTTCATTGTTGTTGTTGCTACAGTTCTGAAAGTCAGGACATGTCCTCTATTTCTTAGTGAGAAACATGTTGTGAAGTTGTTCCTATGCCATCATTGTGTGATTAGGAATGGAGACTGTAGAAACGGAAGTAGGAGAAGAAATGTGGTATTTCCTAGAATACCTTCCTTATGTGACATTGATCTGTAACTTGCCAGTGAAATATTTCAAAATAAAAAGAGACCTTGTGGACCATCAGTGATAAATCCGTGGACAGTGTTAACACTTGTTCGGTGAATCTACAGCAAATCGAAGACAGCTTGCAATTTATCAGTAGACACTGTACCTTAACTCACTCTCAAGAACAAATTCTTCCTATTGTTTCATCAACATAGCTCAATTGCAAGAATAAACATTCATATCTGAAAAAACAACTGTCTGGAAGTGATAAAACAGAAATGTGATTCTTTCCTAGGAGTCTTAAAGATTAAACATTACACCTATAAATGTCTATACAATATACACATTGATGGAAAACTGTGATTAACATCTCCATGTGGAGGAACAAGAATAAACCTTTACCTATTCCTTCGCAGCCTATGCATGCTGACACAGCCTCCTACTTGATCAACATCTTCATGTGCCACTAATGTGGCAAACCTAAAGAAAACACTAACAGATCAAAGGCAGTTTCTTTATGTGTAAAACCAGTGAGTGCCATTTTCACTTTCATGTGTTGAAAGCAATACAATTGTGTGAAGCAGGGGGTCATGATCACTCAACATTTAAGTGTTAAGTATAATGTGCAATTTATATCATGGGAATTTAAGTCATGATGAGAATTCCAAACATTATTTTTGATTTAAGGAGGCTATTTTTCCCTAATGAAAAGGACAATGAATCCAGCAAAACAAAAAACACAACAATGGCTGATATCACTGTCATGGTAAGTAAGTATTTTGTATGGATCAGATGAACACAGCAGGTGCTGCAGTCCAGGTAAAGGGTAGCACACTTTAATGAACAGAGAGAGTAGAAAAACTGGCTCAGCAGGAGCATGAACAGGCAGGTTATAGAGACAGCAGGTACTCAAGACTGTTTGCACATGTCTTCGCAAGACTCCAAGGACACTGCTATTTATAACCCCCTGGGGTGGCTAGTGTTATTGTGATGTGGGGGCAGCCCTGCCAGCAGAGTTCAGCATGGTAACCGCTGCCAAGCACTGCCGTCTCACTGTCCTTTCTTTGCTTGAAAAAGCCCCAGTGCCATCTTTGTGATTACTAGTCCCATTTAAACCTTCTGCCGTAGGGTCTCTGTGTATCACCTGTATATCTCCTCCAGCGCACATGATAACTGCAGTACTGTGGCCCACTGTGTAACTAAATACTTAATGAGTAACTCAATATATCTGTGAGATGCTCTGAGTTGCCCAACAATGCTAATTTTTCTTTCACAGAGACACTAAAATGCAGAGGCTTCTTATTATCTTGTTTCATGGCTTTCTGCTGGGCTTTTAATTGTAAGTATATTTGAAAAAAACAAACACATGAAACAAAAGAAACATGGTCAGTTGGGCTTTTTTTCCATGGAACTCTAATTAAAAGGATACACAAAGTTCAGGAACAGATGTACAAGATACAGTACTGTATATATAGTACATACTGTAAGTATAGAGCCAACGAAGAGTATATAGAAACTTAAAATAACATGGATACAGAGGAGTGTGTCATTGACAATATATTCTCTCTATGTACAGTATTTACACCTCATAGTATTTGTTCATACACATGCAGCAGCATCACCTACTTCAGCCTTTTTTTATTCACTCCAGTCTCGCCAGGTTTCTTCTGCAAACACAGTCTTTTCATTCCGCCATCTTACTGAAATTCTACTTGGCCATTTTTTTGTTCTCCTGGGATCCAGTTCAGTTCAGTGTTTCCCTGATCCAAGAATAGTCAAGTGAGTTCATCCTGCTACAGTATGTGTCCAGTCTATTGCCACTCTGATAATATCACCTGCTCCTCTTTGTGCATTCATTCCTTTACTGTCTCCTCTTCTTATTCTAATCATTCTTCTTAGTGCCCCTCTTTGAGTTCTCTGTATTTTTCTGTAACATTTTGTACTGTATAATAAAAAATAAATTCACATGCATTTTGATGGGCATATTAAAATTAATTTAATTATATAGATACATATTAAGATTTAAAAGGAGCAGGTACAGTGAGGAAGAAATATCTACTTGAGAATATGCATACACTGCAAGAGTATAAAACAAATAATGTCAAATGAAAAATACAGTTTTTTCTGTATTCGTTGTCCGTGGGAGGCAAACAGTCAGGTTTAAATCCTATTCCCAGTCTCTGAAACAGTTTGCTTACTTATTTTTCAATGTTTTTTGAAACATTTATCTTCCAGATTTCTGGTCTTCAGGGTATTAAGAGCTGTATCAGCATGTCTGACATGTATTTTTTTTGTTCATATATAATAAGACCTATTTAAGGTTCTTGCTTCAGTATATTTTATTAATAATATACTTTTCTATTATTTGCATAGCAGTTTCTGTTGCAAAGGGCTTAAGTTACAGGAGGGGATCACCCACCTTGGTGATGCTAGTAGTCCCACTACAACACAGCATATCAGCCTGAGAAGTGAGAGATCTTTTGTAGCCAAATTGTCAGGACCTTGACTTAAAGCCTCAAGTGTTGTGTCTGAAATTGCCTTCAGAGGGTGCTTTCTTGCAGCCGGGCTATGAATACCACCTTCTTCCAGCAGACATATTTTTCAACACTTTGTATCCTGAAGGTGCCAGTGTGTGTTGGAGATCCTTATGGTTACCTCCCATAGCTCTCGTCTCACAGCCTCCGGGGACAGGATATACATGGGTGCTCTTTCAGGTTGGGTTGCCACTACACCAGCGGCCTTAACACGTCTTAATCATGAACACTAGGGTGGAAAGAGGGAGAACTAACTTTTTGTGAACTCTTTAATAGCCATTCTCCAACTTGTGGAGGTCAATTACTATTTCCTGCAGTCTTTGAAGAGCTGATTTGAGCCATAATAATTCATGCTACTACTATGTGTAACCTCCTTTTACACCCCACTGCAACAAGATAGAACTGTACAGTTCCAGAGGATTTCATTGCACTTCCAAAGAGTAGAATATCACTGTAGGTTTGTGTTTGTTACAGATTATTTAAAGGAAAACTTCAGAGTATGAATAATTATCTTCTTGTTTTCTTTATTTGTGCAGATTTATGATTATATATGTAACATTGACAGAATTTCTGATAATGCAAATTAGAATTTTTAAGTTAATTGTTAAAGAAATTATTCAGTCAATAACTCATTCTACTACATGGTGTTTTTTTGGTTCCTATATCATTGGCGCCACAAATAAATCTAGAGAAAATATAGTGATCTAATAGATAACTCAAACTAATGTAGACATTTCCTATTTACAGACACTTTAGATTTCTTCTGTAAGTCTAATTGAAAATTACAAGCCTGCCTTTTTCAAAGGACACTCCCATTGCTGAGAACAGAAAAATGTGGAGCAGGTATTCTGGAATTCAATGTATAAAGCCACTTCATAAACTTAATAATGAAAAGATGGCATCTTTGCCTTACAACTGACCTTGAGTACTACATTCTGAGCGCACCCGGCCTTACATAACCCTCATTTCAACTAAATAACATTCAGAAGATCTACTCTGTGCATACCATCAGAATATTAGATTGTGGACATAAGTTTATTACAGTGCTGGCCAGCGAGTCCAATGCTGCCGTCCCACGCCTCTGCTGCACATGACAGCCTGTTTTTAATAGTGACAGTGAGTGCCGGGGGCAGGCTTCTACTATAACCCTGGCTTGCCTTCATTGATCTCGCCGGGCTCGGTCATGTGAAAGCGGGATGATAGGGCGGAGACTGGTGACGTTTATCTCCGCCTTGTCCAATGGAGGCCTCTGTGTGGGGGCTTGTGATTTGACGATAAACACACTGAGCAGCAACTGCTGCGTTAGTTAGTTCAAGGTGCAGGGAGCTAGCGGTTTGCGGAGGGGCTGAGTGGGTTGGGTTGCAGAGTGGAAAATTTTCCATCCCTGGAAATAAACACACGGTTTATTTCAGGTGGGGGGGGGATAGGAGGACTTGTGGTATCCGGTTAGGGACAGGGGAGAAATAAATCAGACCCATCGTTTTTTTTCCTAGGGTGCCCCAAGCCGAGCGTCGCGGACGATCGCGGGGTTTGTTGTATTCGGACTCGCCCCCCAATCTGCTCGTTCTCCTGTCCGCAGGGGGTGAGAATGATACAGAATGAGCCAGAGAGATACCCTGGTGCATCTGTTTGCTGGAGGGTGAGTATGCACGTCTCAAGGTGCGCTGTGTGTCCTCCCCGTTTTTGCAGATCCCACCACCCACCGTTTGCCTCAACTGAGTATTTCGGCATGTTAATGGAACACCCACTTAGGCCTAATGCTCCAAGCGCAGGTTGCTGCAACGGCAGGCGTTTTTACTACTGTCAACGTGACTCATTGCAGCATCGAGATCGAGGGCATTGAGACAGAGTCGCATCAGTGACCGAGACATTTTTATTTTGCATTTTCCGTTTGTGTTGTTAAACCGTTGAATGAGATGAGAGTGATCAGGCTCATCTCAATTTATGTTTCTGAGCTCACTGCTTCTATAAGTACCCACAAAATTCGTGTTTATTTAGTCATTTAGGTATTTTTGTCATGCATTGTATTTGGAATAAATAGAGGCTGCTTTGTCAGTGTCAAAACAACTGCGCTGGGGGCTAAGGGCTATTTACGGAACAGTGTAATGGATGTTATACAGCTCTGGAGTTCAGATGTTCATTTTCTGTTTTCTTTAACTGGACGTAGTTGAATGTTGACGTAAAGGTAGCTAGCGTAGCATCGTTTTGAGTTCCCAATTTCATTAGCATGCAATGAAAATAAAAGTACGAACGCAATAAGTAGGTAGCACCAATGATTGCCCTTAGAGGAAGATAGTATGTTCAGGCTAAAGACTAATGGGCGTGATTTTCGGTTGAATTATGGGTGATGTAGAGTAAAACGTGGAATAATATTTCATAATAAAAGAATGACCTGCCTTGGCATTCCTTAGGGATTCCGAACAGTTGAATTATGATATTTATTTTCTTTGAAAGGTGTAAAAAGTTTCAGTGACTATTTCAAAGAATGAGGTACGTAGGCCTTTACCTCTGTTATGCAGCCTCGGTAGTTTCCTGGAGTCTCTCCCGGAATTGCAAACACTCTGAGTCGCCTCACTCCATGAGGGAGGGTCTCTTAATATTCAAAGTTATTTAGAAGTTAATTAACGTGTTATATTATTGTTTCACGTATACAACCTTACCTAGATTACACTGAGTTATATTTAAGAGTATATATCAGATTTTCTTTATAAAAGCGGATTTTGTTTTTTTTATAATTAAGGCTTCTCACGTAAATAGGCTTTATTTAGTTAAAATATTATATATACTTGGTCGTGTTGCTTAAATATGTTAAAGTGTCAGATCCTGCTCAAAAAGAACATCCATTCATTCTTGACTGATTTCCAGAAAATTGTTTTATTTTCTGGAAAAAAAAAAGTTGCTCTGAAAGCTTCAACATTTTCTGTTTGAAAATAACTATTTTTAAAATGGACTTTAGAAATCCACAGCATAACCCCAGAATATCATTAGCGCTTTCAGCTTTATGAACTGCAACTGAAACATTTAGGATATACAGTACAGTAATTCAAATTCAAGGTTGTGAACGTTTCATAACACAAATGGGTGTTGCTTTCTGCACATGATAATTATTATGATGGTTTTGTGACACCTCTAACTACCACCATCGTTCCCACATTCTAATTAAGTTGTTTATATTTTAGTTGTATAATACATTGTAGAGGTTACAATGAGCAGAGAACCATGTCAGTGTGTTAACTTCAAAGGAACAGGTGGAGGATGTTTTCATGCTGAATTGTTAAAAAGAAGTTTCATCTGTGCTACCACTTTAACGTGTGAAGGATAATAATAATAAGAAACTTTATTTTATATAGTGCCTTTAAAGGTGGCTTCTCAAAGCGCTTTAGAGAATGACAACAACAATAAATAAAAAGAATACACAAGATAAAACACAATTACAATATACAGAGGAGGCCGTGGATGGTGGTACAAGAAAAGTAGAAGCAGAAAGGTAAAGAATGGAACCAGTTAAGGAAAGGCTCTTCTAAAGAAGAGGGTTTTGAGTCTGGGTTTGAAGGAGTTTAGAGAAGGTGACTCTCTGATATCCTTGGGGAGAGAGTTCCAGAGCTTGGGGGCATAACAGTTGAAGGATGCAAATATAAAGAAGCTTCCCACAACCTAAACATAGTTTCCTTAATACTTTGCTTTTTGATGGGCCAGACTGTCATTTTTTTTCTTTTGATTTCCGCTGAATAATTACAAACTAGAAACTGCAAGGAGTGCCAGTTTTAGAGGGTCAGTTAATTATTCATGAAAGTCACTAGATAATTCGATAGAATCAACAGTATTTTTCAGATAAGAGCCGCATGTATCTTACAAGCTTTTCAGTGCCCTGTCCCATGCCCTTACAAGCCTGTTCTATGCTGCAGTCCATTTCGCCACCCTTACTTAAACACTGATATCAGTTCTTAAATCCAGCTCAGAATGGTCTTAAGTTCACCTGTAGAGCAGGACAAAAACATTTATAATGTAGTTTAATGCTCAAAAAGGTTTGCGGACAATACAGTGGGATATTTGTACAAATATCATATTGAGTCCTAATATTATATACTAAACCTCAAATTGCTAGTATTTACATGTTACACTTAGTGTTCCATGTTATTGGTGTTTGTCACATGACATCAGGATAAAGTTACCTTTGGCCCAGATTCGCTAAAAGTCTGACTTTCACAGAACCAGATGTGTTGCTTTTCTTGTCCCAACCCAGCCATGGAGTGTTTTGACTCATTATCTCAAAGCAGAGTTTTCAGGTAACACGACAAAGCCTCCCTGATTTGCATTGCAACTTAAACAAAATGTAAATCATAATTCTTTGTCTGGCATAGATCCTACACTAAAATGATCTTTTGCTCTATAGTCATAACTTGGATGATGTTGTGGTGTAGTAAAGTAGGGGTTGCTTACTTTTTTGCTGGCTAAAATAAGATGGATTAATTTAGTAGCATTTTGCCACTGTTGTTGAATCAATTAAGGATAGGAACTGCAAAACAATATTAACATCTCCTGTATTGTTCATTTGATGGTGTGCAGTTATTTCTGCACTTCTTCAGAAATAACTGCAAGGTGCACAAGTTAGCCTTATCAGCCATTAGTGGAGGTACAGGTATTCTTGAGTGTGGTGAGAAATATCTGTACTTTTTCAGGATATTAGCCCAGTTCTGGGGGCTTTGTGAGTATTACCACACAAAACCTTGTTGTGCTCCACAGAGGGAATCAGTTTCTCCAAAATATCAGAAAAGATCTGAAGTCTTTTTCTAAATCTCAAACCTGATTAAACTGCCACTTTTTAAAGGCAAAGCATATGATGGCTCAAAAATACTATTTTTTGATGAACACTGTAATTGACTATCAGCTGCAGCATTTGGTCTGTGCTAAAAGTCATGTTGAGTTGATTTATCAGATTAAAAAAACTGAATCTGTCCTATCAAACTTGGAATGCTATTTTTTCTTTATTTTCATGAGTGGGATATTTAATTACAAGTGAAAGGGGAAGTAACAGTTCTGCAAAGCAGTTGGTAGTGCTAAAATAGCAACTCAAATTTCTTGCTATCCATGTTTCTGATCTCTCTTAAACCCTGTGTGTGCAAATCCATTTTATAACTATTGGTGTTTTACAATTCTGCCTGAGGGTTAACCAGCTTGTGTTTATTCATTTTGCACCCTACATATATTTTCATATGAGAAAAGATTGTCACTGCATAGATGTGTTCAGAAATCTGGGGCAAAGGTTAAATTTCTTGTGTGTGTGCGCTCACAAGCTGCATGATAAAACCAGACCAGCATTGCAAGATCCTAAATTACAGGGTGCCCTACATATTTCCATTAACTGTTCAGCGTACGTTAAATGTTGCACGAGGTCTCTGAGTTCAAGTGATTACCAACATGCAACACAGGAGTTATCTGCATATTCTAATTAGGCTATATACGCACTAAGGACATTATATGGTTGTAAAGAACTGCTGGGTTTCCTGTTGCTTACATGTTATATCAGATTAACCATAAATGCTGTATATTATTTTCAGATTAGGGATTTGCCTTTATAATTTATATTAGAAACACATTATGAATTTGACTCCAACTTAAACATTACAGTGTCTTTTTTTATCCACCGCTATGTAGCGTGAACTCATCACTACTTTGAATATGTCATCTGACATCATTGATTTTATTTTAAATACGTGAGAACTTTTAAGTCGCAGAAAAGGCTCCATTCCAGAAGACTTGAATATTCTTTTTCATTCTAGTTTGTCCTGACAAGTTATGTTCTTCCTGTGCAATGTAAAAAAGCCCTTGCTAAAAAGCCATTTAAGCCAATCCAGCGTGTTTAAAAACTATTTGTCAGAGTGGGTTTTAGCAGTGTCATATCTGCAGCTTTCACATCCAGAAAAAGTACAGAATTATCTAATTAATGGTTATAATTGCTGTATGTCTGTTAATCTTCTGATGTTGGTTCTTTGGGTGACTCACTTTTGTTTATGGTGCAGGTTGATTTGTCATGGAAATTAAATATGCAACAACATATAGGAGTGCAAAGGAACAGGTAACGGGTTTAATCCATGAAAGGAAACGCAATGTTTCAGCCGTGGAGCTGCCTTCAGCCTTCCTCAGGAGCCTTCACACCTGAAGAAGGCTCCACGGCCAAAACGTTGTATTTTCTTTCTTTTCTTTTCAGCATGGAATAAACCTGTTACCTGTTCCTTTGTAGCCTATGCATGCTGATACGGCTACCTACTTGAACATATAGGAGTGGCTCCACTTTGAATGATAATATCACTTTTACAGGTATTAGTAATTGCTTGCCAGTATTTAATGTGATATAGACTAGATGTATTCTATCTGTAACTATTAAAATCCACTCCCTTGCAAAATTTCAGTGTCTCCTTCCCTGCTAATTGGCGATGACTTTAAGGTGCTCCAGTTATTGCAATAGAAAGGATTGATGTAGTTCTGTAATGAGTTGCTCTTATATACACTGTGTATTTACATTTTAGTGTAAGAACTGTATGTTGTATAAATTGTGTGCCTCATTTGCATTATATGTAAGAGCATGGACTAGAATTGTGTGTTTTTTGGAAGTACAAATCGTTATAATTGATTTTTCTTCTCATGGTTTATTACAGATAGAATAGGTACCATCAAAGTTTACCAACAGTCCACCATAGGTTTCAAATGTTATCATTACTGTGTAACGCCAGCCTGAATTTGTCAGTGAATACCTTTGCCAATTCTGGAAGTTTCCTTTTTTTCCCCCTTGGGTGCTCATGGTCTTAGAAAATGTTCGCAGAATGGCTGCTCAGTTGAGCACGCTCGTGCAGAATAAAACTTATGATTCCTCATGTGTTCGTGGGTGGTGTATCCTCTGTTGATGGAAAAAGAGTGCGTTTTGAGTGCATGGTTCTGGAAATCTATATTGTCACTTCAGAGTCGTCGTAGCCTGAGCAACTGAAAAGAGGAGAGAGTTTTTAGTGTGTATATACCTCTTAGAACGTATATACCTCCTAGAATGCTTTTTTAGTAATAATAATAATTATTATAATTGCTAACACTTATATAGCGCTTTTTCTGGACACTCCACTCAAAGCGCTTTACAGGTAATGGGGACTCCCCTCCTCCACCACTAGTGTGCAGCCCCACCTGGATGATGCGACGGCAGCCATAGTGCGCCAGAACACTCACCACACATCAGCTATCAGTGGGGAGGAGAGCAGAGTAATGTAGCCAATTCATAGATGGGGATTATTAGGAGGCCATGATTGGTAAGGGCCAATGGGAAGTTACACCCCTACTCTTTTCGAGAAACGCCCTGGGATTTTTAATGACCACAGGGAGTCAGGACCTCGGTTTTATGTCTCATCCGAAGGACGGCGCCTGTTTACAGTATAGTGTCCCTGTCACTATACTGGGGCATTAGGACCCACACAGACCACAGGGTGAGCGCCCCCTGCTGGCCCCACTAACACCTCTTCCATTAGTAATACACTAATGTTAAGGAATGAAATGACCAAAATAAAACAATTAGCTGCTTGAAATGCCCTTTAGAAAGGTATAGCATCATTATCGTCATTTTCGGGGTTATGCACTCGGCTAATGAGATCCAACAGGAAGCATAAAGTTGTTGAGCTAATTTTGTTTGCTTCCGTGCTGTGCTTTCACCTGATCTTACTGTTGACCCACACTGCCTGGAAGTGAAAGCTGTTACTGATTACCCAATGAAACCCTCATACATCAGTCACTGGTGAAAATGCAGCTATTGGGAACACAGCTGTGTTAGAGCCATGTTGACCTCTTTATGCGCTGGCTCTTAAAGCTCTCCTCTTAACTGGAACACAACCCTGGCATGGCTTAGAGGGACTGTATGTGTTTCCACCCCCATTCCTGTCCAAAACCAAAAAGGCCTTCATTGAAAAACACTAGATTCAGAAATAGACGTTCCAAAAAAAATATGGTTGGAACTGTCTATTTTTTATTTTTACTGTCGCACATGGAAAAGCTAGGTATTCCTGCTTCTCTTGACATTGTGCTGCAGGTAGAGTCCTCCTACATTGGTTTATTTATTCTTAATTTTAAGAACATGGTCTGTTTAGAAAGTATATCTTATTTTTTTCCCCTCTAAGCATTGCACATTTGCTTTTCTGGGTACGTTTTTTAAGGTTCTGTATTCCCCTAAGAGGACCCCCAGTGGTCAATGTAGATATTCAGGTCACACATTCTCCCTTGCTTCCCAGTCTTGGTCATGGTGACCTCACTTTTGGCTGATTTTTCAATCCAGCTGGACTGTTAGCTTAATTAAACTAACAATGTGATTGATAAGGCTTTATAATTTTCCCATAGCTGCAGTTCTCAAAGCACATTTTGAGAACTTTCAAGCGTCTTCTGTTTGCTCACAGCAGCTGAAAAGGGTCTAGTTGGATGTTAGATCAGGGGTTCAATTAAATTAAGTCTTTTAGTTAGAAGAGAAACCAGCAGACTCCTGGGCCACAGGGAACTGGTTTGGGAAGCCCTGGCATGGAGCTGTCACTTCTCAGGTTCCACAACTTTGCAGCGTGGATTAATAATGTAAACTAAGTGCTTTTTTTCAGTACTTCAGTGAAAGTGTTCTTTTCTTTCTCCCATTCTGGTATAATACGGGGCGTGTTCATCAGCAAGATGGAGCCCTTGTTAGGGGACACGTTGGTATTTGAACATAGCTGAAGGGAGTTAGTAATTCAACAAGATTCAGCTGGGGGTGTGCCCTCAAGAGCAAGCTGAATACTCGCCTGAAAAGGAGATCAAGACAGGCTGTCAGCGCAGGGTAGAGCAGGCATGAGATCACGTCTCCTGTTGCCATACCTGTAGGCACAGCAGTAAGAGTGTCCTGGCCATGGCAGTGAGAGCAGCGGGAGTGGGCCGCTGCTGATCTCAGTGGCAGGAAAGAGCGAGCCTGCGATATTCGTGACAGACGAGAGGCTGCAGCTGTAGTTGCCCCACAAAGGGGAAAGAGCGAGAGCTGCCATCTCGGAGGGGAATGGGAAGCATAAATGTTTTCATGATTGTCTGCACCCTGGAAGGGGCTGGTAAGAGTGACCGTTCTCGAGGGGACTGTGGAGTGTAGAGAGATCTGTTTGTTTAAAGGGACAGTCTGTGTAAGAATGCAAGAACAGGGCTGGCCAAGGAACGTCCGCTGGGCAGGTGGATTATTGTGAGTGTGAGGCAATTGAATTTGTATTTTTTTTGCAATAGAAGTGAAACTTTTTTTTTTTATTCCAGGTGTGGGGGCACAGTCGGTGCCATCCTCACGTGTCCACTGGAAGTAGTGAAAACAAGGCTGCAGTCTTCCTCCGTGACTCTCTACATCTCTGAAGTCCAGCTCAGCACGGTCAATGGAGCCAGTGTCAACCGAGTGGCCCGCGTCTCTCCTGGACCTCTTCACTGCCTCAAGTAAATATCAGCAGCACAGCTTTCACAACTTGGTTTCTGTAACACCTGCCATACTCTCATTCCAAGTAAACTGCAGCTAATGCTCCACTCTGTATTTATATGGGTGGGAAAATGTTTTGCTGTATTCCACTCTTCCTCCGTTCGCCTCTCACTGACTGGATTAAGGATCTCGTGCTCCTTACTTCATTTCACTGTAACTGATTTCTTTTTAAGAGTTGCTTACCAGGGGCTTTGTGTTCTGTTTGCAAACTGCAACAAAAATATTCTCCCCAAATATTTTGGGATTTATGCTTAAAGGACTGGAAACAAAGAGCAGCAGAAGAATAAATTATTAGCAGTCCTTTGACATTTCATTACTTGGTGCCTGGTTCAGAAAATGCAGAGGATGATTATTCTGATTCTGGTCTTTAGTATTGTCCTACGCATGTGAAAACTATACCAATGGATTTTCTTCCTTGCTAATACAACACTTTGGTGTTAAAACAAACAGAATTCTATAATGTTATGACCCACTGCTAGTTGTCTCAGGTCAGAATGCATTTTTCATTTCTTCTATAGCATTGAAATCATGAGCTGGATTTTTTTTTTGAAAACCCAAAGTTCTAAATTCTCAAATGTTTAGTCTCTTTATGTGAATTTTATATAAGTTTATCTTGTGGTAATATCTGTATTTGTTTTTTGGCTACATCACTTGGCTTGCCCTATAGCTATCCCAGTTGAAACTGATCTGCTGTGAAAATATAATTCTGTTATGCTGGTTTTATTCGCCCAAGGAAGTCTTTGCTGAAGCCTTGCTTGCTTTTTTGGATATTATTTTACATTTTACATCTTTTTTACATCTAAATAAAAATAGAGTAGTTTTGGGAGTCTAAAAAACCACCCATTAGGACATGTCTCAGACAAATAAACTGTTTATAGAAAGTGACTATAAATATAATATGAAATCTTTGTTGACTACAAAAATAATTTATAAACCACCTTTCCAGTAATCCGCTTGTAGAAGAACTCGCATACACAAAATTACCTACATCGTGTGACAGCTGAGAAGTGTTCAGACTGTTTGCACATTAACAGGCATATCTCCGATGTTCTATGCATGTTTTGTGGATTGCTAAACAGTATCTACCAGAAAGATACTTAATTTCTCTGTTTGTTGCAGTTCATTCTAAAAGTACCTGTTTTTTTAGGTTAATACTGGAAAAAGAAGGCCCTCGTTCTCTGTTCAGGGGTTTAGGACCTAATCTGGTTGGCGTGGCTCCTTCCAGGTATGTTTTTTCTGTCATTTGTGAAGATTTTGTATGCTTTTTATGTCTTCAGCCTGAAGAGATGTTGAAGAACATTTGCCTTGCTTATTTTTATTTTCAGTTCTATTTGAATCTAGTGTTAACAGCAGTATGTAGAAACAGCTTAGGGGTGGAATAAAGTTTGAGCTACAGATGAAACTGAATATGAAAACAGGCCATTTGGGCAATCTAGCTTGTTCGGTCGTTAGGGATCAGAGGATCTCCTCCTGCCAAGCCAAGGTGTCATCTTTTACAACATGGCCTGTTGGCCTGTTCCTGACTCCCACGATGCTTTGTGTTAGATAAAGTGCCTTCTGCTTTCAGTTCTGAATGCATTGCCCCGTAGTTCCTACTTTCAGTGCTGATTCTGAAGAAGTCCAGTTGCTTGATTTGCTCCTTCCCTCGAGGATGTTGAATACTTGAGTTAGGCCTCCTCATAGACCTCTCTGTTCATGACTAAAAGTGTTCACTTTTTTTAGCCTGTCAGTGTAGGCCATTCCTTTAAACCTGGGAATGTCTCTGTTTGAGCTTTTCTGGACTGATTCGTGAGCAACAATATGTGTTTGATGGACAACATTGTATACAGCCTTCTAAAATAAGTCTTTCTGGTGCATTTCAGTTTCATCATGACCGCCCTTGATTTAATCTGTAGATTTAAGCTATATACTGATGCTTTCCAAGTTTTAAATCTCTTACCTAGGGCATCCACAACATCCGTGCAATGTTAATAAATGCAAACGTATTCAGAATAATTTTATTGCAGCTATACAATTAAGTATATATTATATTTTCATTAGTGTTCCGACCACAGAACTTCCTTCTGAAATATTTTCCATAGAGATTGCTGTTTGATACTTTGAACTTTTTAGCAGAATGCGTTGTTGGTCTTTGTTTGCAACTGGCAGGGGGCTACAGCAGGTTGCCAATCCTAGATAGCCTCTGCACCCCATTTAGGGCAAGTCTCAGTAGGTAAGTGAAGTACAGTCTGTTTCGATTTGTTTTGAGGTTTCTTTGACGGTGCAAATATGCTAACAGGAACAGCCTTAAAAAATTGTCAACTTTTCTGATTAAAATAAAGAAGTTGTAACTCACTGTGTAGCTTCAGGTTACTCTTGTCATGACTAGTTAAACATGTTTGATTCTGTTTTTTCATTCGTTCAATTGCTTGACAGTGAGGATCATATAGACCTTATACCCATGTAAAATGGATGCTGTTTAAAAGTGACTGGCATCTTTTTTACTATTTTTAGTTGCTTACAGTTAGTGTTTTAAGGGGAAAAGTACAAAAATGCATTCTAGTTTTTATAGGATTTTACAATATTTACAAGGAAGGTTAAAATTTAAACTATTATTTTTGTATTTTAACAGCACATATTTAAACTGCTGAAATTGGAGGTTCTACATTATGGTATAATCTTGAGGATTTCATGTAGAAATAGTTATTAAATAGTCATTAGACAGCTTGTCTTCAATCTTAGATTCTTTGCTTTTAGTAACAGTGTAAACAGAATGTTATGCAACTAAAACATAAAGACATGCAGTAGGCTTAAAGCTTTCTAAGCCGATAAGTGGAAATCCTTGTTTGAATAGGATTGGGCTTGATTGGACTAGAATTGCATAGCTAGTGTAGAGTGTGTGGTTGCTTGTTAAATTGCTAGTTCAAAGATTAATCATTACATTGCTAAGCTTGTGACAAGTACTTTGTTGATAATGGTAAGCAGTTAGGATTGGATAAAAGTGATTTTTACTTTAAGGTAATTTCACCTTTTAATACTGGTACAAGAGGGAAATGTAGTTCCACGTACTTTATCTTTTGTTCTTACTGCAATCTCTCATCTTTGATACAGTTCAAGAGTGGTGTCAAGTTCAACAACTTCTTTTAAGACCAGGCATAGCTGTGTCTGACAACAGGTTTCTATTTAAGAAGCTTGAGGCTGTCTAGTGCTATAACTGATCTAAATCTTGCATGTTTCTCTTCTTGCTACATCATGTGTGAATACATTTGTGTTTTTAGAACTTCCGTTGCAGAATTGTGCACCGGAGGTGAACATTGCAGATTTTCTTAGGTGTGGAAAGTTATGATTTACTTTTTACAGGACATCCATTATCATCAGTTATAAATAAATTTATACTGAAACAAATCTGGTTTATGAATATCTTGTTGATGTAAAGTACAGCCATTGGATTCCCGTAGCTATGCGAGTTGTAAAGGCATTCATAACTCGGGCTTGGATGTTACTAAGGACAGATGAAAATTGGTCTTTAAGAGGCCATTTTAAATGCCTGAAATCCTGCTTAATGTAATTATTCTTTATTTTAGATCTTAAGCACGGAATGAGTACAAGCAGATTATTTAGTTAGGTGTCCAGTTGTAAAATTGGGTAAGACGTTTTGTCAGACCCTTGCAAAGTGAGTGTTACAATTTAATATTTTTATTACTGTTCTAATAGTAGCATTGTTGTAACTCTGCCTTGAAATACTGTAATTTTTTTAGTCTAAAATAGTGATAATGTATTATTTTATATCAAACCTAATTTTTATTGCTTGTTTTGTAATAAACCGATTCATTTCTCCATTATAACACAATCCATTAATAAATAGTAATAAACTCAGGTATGCAGTATTTAATTAGTGCAGAATTTATTATACAGATTGTAAAATTTATAACACACAACAAGTTCCCAATATATTGGGAAAATTATATATTTTTGTAGCAGGTGCACTAACTGTTTATTACACAGACATGATGTGGGTAAATTCATTGTATGTGTTATGGTCTACTGTGAAAATTTGACAAGTAGTGTATACATGGCAACTTATAGAAACAATACATACTGTTCATCTCCGATGCACACTTTTCATCAGGGTGTGTATGCTGTCTTGTGGCATTCTGTTCCAGTAACTCTTAAAGAGCTTGGACAAGCATGTTCCTGTTAATTGGTTTTTGAATTCTTGCTCAGAAAAGTCTTGCCCAGTGGCTTTGCAAACTTAATTCAAGCTTGAAATAGTTCCTATTATGTGCATAAGAATAGCATCATCTGAATCACTTCAGCTGATTTAGTTCTTTAAACCTAGCTTGCTTGCCTCCTTTTCAGAGCGTTAAATCCAGTATAAATAGGTTACAACACGATAAACCTTAAAATGCTTATGGTAATAGGTTAAAATAAACTGAATTGAGATGGGGAGGGTGTAGAATGATGTTTTAATTTTTAACTTTTTCTTAAAAAATACATTTGTTTCAGTGAGCTTCTTAAGACATAGGAGCTGTTTCACAAAGCAGGTTCAACAAAATCAGGATTTTCTCAAATTAGCCGGATTGAATTAACCCAGTGATAAACTGAAGGTTTTCTTTGGTTTCACAAAGGCAAACACTGCTTTCGGCTGTCTGTTTAAACCGAGTCATGCTTAAACAGACTGACTAACTACACCACACTTTAGTAGGTAGGAGAGTCGAGCACCGAATCCTTCATCAGCGCCAGCACAACCACGGTGAAAGAACATCCGTCTTAATCCAGTGACCATGAATTACGACTCCTTATGGAAAAAACTGAGGAGATCAAAATCTTTTGTATAAGTGAGACACAATACCGTGTCTCACTACAGAAGCTAGAGAAGACAGCTGGTGAAGAAACGCCGATAAATGGAACATGAAAGTTAGCAATTGAAATTCGATTATCTCAAGAGAAGATTCCCTCTTTTGATTGGAAATGGTGATTGCTAGTTTTCAGCTTTTATGTAATCAGTGTTGATATTTTTTTAGACTTTAATTTTATTTTTTACCTGTACATTGACTGTGAATTGATTTCAGTTGACAAAATCAGCCTTGTTTTGCCTGTGGGGCATTAATGGGAATGCTTGTACAGTCCAGAGCATGGCACATCACTACATGTAACAGAAGTTAACATGTATAGCGGACAGAATTCTATATGGAAAATCTTAACGGCTTTTTCATGAAACCTCTATTTGATGGTATTCACAATACTTTCCTTTTTGCACAGCACAGTGCCATTTTACCGAAATCCTCTGAGTCACAACAGAGTAAAAAAACTGCATCCGTCTCAAGGGATCTCAGCCCTATGCGTGCTGGCCAATTTTTGTTAATGCTGAGCTATGATGAGCAGTATTAACAATGTATGGGCTTAAGAGATCGTGTATGTGAAGTATACCCTGTTAGCTGAAATGGTATCTTTTAAATGAAAGTTACCAGCGAACTGTAAAGGGTTTTAGCAAACTCTAAGCTTTCATTCCCTCCGCAAAGTTCTAATGTCATCTGGATGCCTGAAGAATAGTGATGTCATTTTTGCAGGGGACTGGTTGGTCTGTGGGTTGAGCTCTTAACCAAAGTCAAGTTTAAATTAACCTCTTTGGCGCAGGTTAAGAAATGAGGATACAGGGTATCCTGTAGTAACTTAACCGGATACAATTCAATCATGTGTCATGAAACCAAAATCCAGACTCTTGTTGACATGCTTACTAAAGTTATCCGGTTAACTGAGTAACCTCGCTTTGTGAAACAGCCCCAGTCATACAGATGGTGCTGTTGCAGTTTTTAGAATAGTTTTTCTTGAAATATAAATTGAAATGCATGAGTTTAACTCATTGATGATTGTACCTGTCATGCCAACTCCTGTTGTTCCGAAAGAACAGTCTAGTGCAGTTCATCCACATCAAAGTGATGTTTCAGACTGAGCTGATGAGGCTAAGGCCAGGCTGTGTGATGTTTCTTTAATATATCCATATTACAGAACTGCCTGCGATGGCTCTGGATCTTCCCAGCATGCCTGTGTTGTAAGTTTTTGCTTCTTGTATGGGCTTGACTTCATCAACTGGAATTCATTTCAGCAGTCAAATGCTACAACGGCAGCTGAACACCCCTCCCCAGTCTTAGGCATAAACCAGAGAGAAAGCTTCATGTTTCTTTCACTATTTGAAGGTTTAGGTCGCTGTTCTTTTGTCTTTGTTGTTCATCCAGCATACCCCCTCTGAAAGCCGCTTTCTAGAATGTGCACAAGTTCATGGAAGTTCAGTTCATGCATCAGTACAGTACTTTGTATATTGGATATAATGCCAAAAACACTTTTGAGGTCCTAGACTGGAGACCTTTTGCTGTAGTGTATGCATTAGATTTTGGCTTTTATGACATGCACAGTAGACTCAGTTATTTAGTGAGTGATTGATTAAATATTTAACTCATTAGAGCATATGTACTAACTGAAGGTACATTTTTAGCAAGGACTGTATCATTTTGATCTCTTTTAAAAAAGAACAGTGCGGAGTGACCAATTAGCATCTTTATTGTATCCCCTCTACAGAGCTATATACTTTGCTGCTTACTCAAATGCAAAAGAGAAATTGAATGGTATTTTGGAGCCAGATTCAACCCAGGTGCACATGATTTCAGCTGGACTAGCAGGTAAGGGTCATTTTAACAGTTTTAATCCTAAATTTGTTTTGCAGTTTTAGGTTAAGACCGGCAGAAATAAGTAGAGAAAATGGAAGGGAAAATGATTTAAGATATCTTATCTTAAATGTTTAATTAGGGCACATGCCTGACTATTGATTATCTGTAATTGTAAATATAAATTTTATTTCTATGAAGAATAATAAATTAGTGATATGGTTAATATTAGAAATGGTGGCTATTTGATATTGCCTTGTGGGACGTTTTTTCTTTAATATAGCTTATTTATGTATAGCGCTATGTTTAGTTTGCTTTATTTCTACATTATGCGTTTCAGCATCTTGTGTATTAAATATTACTTTCAGTTTGGGGGTAACTAATAATACATTGGGATTGATAGAAAGCACAACCAGAAACTAAGGATATGAGTCTGCATATATGTTTTGAATTTATTTCACACTTCTTTGAGACATTTAATTTCTAAGAATGTCAACCTGTGTTGTAGCGATACCTCCAATATTCTTCAGTTGTAATTATATACTATTATATATATATACTGTCTCTTACTTGATATCTCTTACCTTTCCCAAAGCCAGTTTAGGAGCGCAAAACATGCAAGAGTCTGTTTAAAAAGAGAATATTTTGTATGTGACGTCAAACCAGTTTAGTTTTATTTTAGAAAGTATATTGATATCCCCCTTGTTATTCACTTTTCAAATTGGAGGCAGCACTGCTCCCCAGGTTGAAAAACAAGTTACTGTAGGCACCAGTTTTTCTTATAGTTAAATATTGGCACAACTGCAAGATTCTGTTTACATGTGGTAGTGGTTTTCTTCATAGCACATACTGTTTTTCTTAAAGAATACAGTATAATAAAAGATAATGTACTTCTTCATATTATGTACATTTTGGCCAAGCCTTTGAAAGTACTTTCAGACCTTTTTGAATAGCATTAAGTGTCTTCTCAAAAATAGACTGTCAGAAGAAAGTTTTCTGTCTTCTGGTTTTCGTTTTTCTTTATTACACGTACAGTAATTTGTAGCCAGTACAATTCTACAAATAATTTGACTGAAGTGAAATTAAAATTAATAATTCTACCTTTTGTATTTTTTTGTTCCTATTTTATGGTTCAGTGTTAGCACTGAGGTTGAAAAGGTTAGTAAGCCAGTAAACTGAATAACAATCGTTGTGGCATTTGCAATTTCTTCTGAAATCTTTAGAAATAGTAAATTATCCCAGATAACAGTACCGCTTTGCTCATATGAATACTTTACAGAAATACAGTATGTTGCTTTTGTGTTCTTTTAGTGATCCTTGTTACTTTTCAATACTGCAAGATTTCTATCCAACTTTGAATTTTGAAGTCATTCAAAAGGGTTTTGCAAGACACTGCTCTGTACAAGAAGAAAGTATGTTGCAAAACTGCCAACTTCTTTAGTTTTGGTTGTGCTTGAACGGAGCAGGTAAAAATTTAACTAATTGCTACTAAACAGTATGGCTTCACACTGTTTGTATGTAGTACAGATAAAACGCTAACATTTAGGCATGCAGCTGTGAAGCAGAGTTGATGACGGTGGATGGCCCCCGCTGATTGACATCTGAGGTAGCTAATTGATTTCTTCTAAAAGTTGTAATGTGCAGATTCATGACAGTCATGCAGCTTGCAGCTCTATTAACCTTTTATAATTACACAGTTGACACCTTAGATGCAGTAAGAACCTCTTTCGAGTTAAGGTAATGAACTATACACATTTTCTGGTCTCGAATGGAAAATGCTAACCTTGTCATTTCTGGGCACAGTAAGTGTTAATGATTAAGGAAAATTTAATTTATACACTTACGTAAGGGAAATGTTGAAAGCTGAAAATTAGTGTTACAAGGCAACATGTTGCAGGATCTAGGTGAAAAGTGAAAATCTCATACTTTTTTAATTTACAAGTTATATGGAGGAGATTTTAATTTATGTTCTGAAATCTTTCAATCTTAAATGTTTTCCCACTTAAACACTTTATTTCACTTTATTCCTTAGATCACTGAAGTCTATTGGCTATGAATTGTAAACATCCGTATGTCGCAAAAGATATGATTAATTTGATCAAATTCTGATGATAGTCAAATTATAGGCTTCATTCAAACAATTATTTTACCCCAGAAAGAAACTGAATAGCATTTATGGCAAATATAAGCACATAATCCAGTTAATTTTTTGTGATTCACAAACTGTACGTGCTTCAACCAAGCACGTCTTTCGTGGGAAATTCAGTAACATAGGGAAGATATCACATGGTCCTTGCACATGAAGAGTTTATTCATGGCAACGTGCAGTAACTGGGCAGAATCTAAGACACATTGAACAACTGGAAAGTCTCTCTGAGATGTGATGCCACAGTTCTCTCATAATAAAGTAAAACAAATCAAAGATCTACCATCATATATGTTGGACTTAGGCTATCCAGAATAAATGTGGATTTAGCTTATTCCCACCTTACTATAGCTACAATTACATGAAATATCAGTTTACTTCATTAAGGTGCTGCAAAGTGTTGACAATCATGGCACTAACAGTCAGTGAGATGCCTGTGGCTGCACACTATCTCCAAATGCTTTGTAGTCCAGAGTATAGTTTGAGGCGGCAAGTCTAATGCAGTTGGTCAGGTGCTCATCTGTTGGGCTAGTGTGATACTTGGTTATGATGATTTTCATCTGTGAAAACGCCATCTCACAAAGATAGATCCAAAGAAGGCCTATACCTTAAGTGCACAGGATGAAAGGAATGGATACCTCTCGCTATTCACAAGCCCCCAAAAGTCCTTGTCTCTTGACCTGGCTTTCATTTCAAGGTCATTTTGTAGGTCAGTTATTTCCATGTCAACAACACTTGGCAACATGAAGCACTGTTGAAAATTTGCTGAAAGATCCTCAATCTCAGTGGCAAGAAAAGGGTTTGAGATGAACGTGACAGTGTCTTCTATCTGGTTTAGCTCCTGAAACCTCCTATTAAACTCCTCTGCCAGTCTGTCCAGGTGGACACAGATTTCTTCAGGATGGAACGAGTCTTTGTCTGAGATGTTGCTCAGCATGTTGGCCAATTTCTGGAAGTGAGGTAGATTCCTGCTCTTTAACTGGGATGTCCACAGTGCAAGTTTCACTTCGAAGGCATTCACAGCACTGATCATGTGTAACACGTCTCTCTTTTCCCTGCAATTCAGGATTCAGCTCATTCAGTTTGGCAGTTAAGTCTGTTAGAAGTCCCAACTCGAGCAGCCATGTGTCATCTGACAACTCCCTGTATCCTTCATTACTTGACTTGAGAAAAGTCACAATCTCCAGCAGCAAATCAGTGAATCGCTGGAGCACCTTCACACGACTTAACCAGTGCACGTCAGCATGTAGAACACATCTCCATATTCAGCACAGTCGCATCAAGTAATGACTTAAACGGGTCGTGCTGAAGAGCTTTTGTGTGAATCAAATCTACAGTTTTGACTATGACGGTCACTGGAGAAATCCAGTTCTTTGCTGACTAGCACTTGCTGATGAATGACACAGTGATAAATGACAAAAGAGGGGAAAGCTGGATCTTTCCTACAAAGCGCAATGAAACCAGCATTCGGACCGCACATTGCCGGGGCCCCGTCTGTTGTGATTGTCACTAGTTTCTGAAGTGGAATATTTTTCTCAAGTATATGTGTTTCGAGTGCACGATATGTGTCCTCGCCTCTTGCCCTCTCTTTTAAAGGCAGAAGAGTGAGAAAGTCGCATCCATAAATGCCATGCGAGCGAACACGACAAGCTGAGCCGTGTCGGTCATATCCACAGATTCGTCAAATTGCAGAGAAAAGAATTCACAGAGATAATCTCTCAATACCTGCTGAGATACGTCTTCCGACAACGACTCCACTCTTCTTGCTGCAGTTGCAGCTCCTAGTGACATATTACTTCTAGCTGTTCTGATTTCATCTCTGTTTTTAAAGTCGAAGTAGCTATGATGAAAGTAGCAGCATAATGGGAGCCTGATTTTTCACAATCGACACTGCCAGTCGATCGACTGGTTGGCAACTACTGTTAGAGTATCCCAGCAGGTTTTTGCAATCTTCTTTGGATGTTGCGGAAATACCATCTGTGGACTTCTAAGATGTCATTTCAGTCATAACGTCAGCAATGGGGTACTTTTAAGAACGCCATGTGTACCGTGGTTTGGCACTGCACAGGTGAACCGGCTTCATACAACTCTGTAATCTTTTTTTCTTGTGGCACCTGCAGCACCCAGCACTTTCCCTAGCAACTGAAGAGTTTAGAGGTTACAAGAATGTGGTATTCTTGAATAACGAAACTGCTATTTACATTTACACCCCCTTTTGATGTTATCTTTCTTGGTCACTGTAACCTAAAGACTAGGTTACAGATTAGATTGTTGAGGAGCCCACACAATTTTAGAAGTGATTCTTCCATCATGGTTGTATTTATATTGTTGTACATTCTGCACATCAACAATATGCCCATTTGCCATTCTGTGCACTGTTTCTTTTTGGGGTACCCTATATATCCTGCTACTGGGAGACAAAGTGAGGAAGAAAAGAGAAATATAAGCATTGGCTGTCTCTCCAAACACAAAATTAACAGCTTGACGTTTTTAAAGTCTACTAACTATTAACCACCCAAAGTTACAGACACAGTAAAGTTGGATCTGAATGTATGCCATTAACATAATTATTACTGTAATTCAAAACAAACTATCCTATGACCTATCGAATAGCTTGCTGCGAACAGTTTTTGCAATTGCCTTCTGCTCTTGGAAATTATTCACAAATAAAATTTCTGTCCAGTGGAGCGCACTTAATAATAACCTTAGAGCTTAAAGTACTGCAGACAGGGCTTAATTTTACTGTATTAACAGTTTTCAAAGTCTCCTCAGAAAATCCTTGAATGTATGAGAAGCTGTCATTTTGCAATTAATTTTTCATACGGCCACATTTCATCAAGGTAACCTAGGCTTCCAGGATAGTACTTGGATATGTAAAAGGTCATTGGAAAAAGATGGTATATCTATACATCTCCAAGAGATGCGTATATAGAGCATTAATTCCACTTAATAATTAATATTGCATTTCACATTGAAAATTGTTTGCAATTAGTGGTTTGTTACATGGCCAGAGGGCACTTCTCAGTAAGACTGAGAGGGATAAGTGTTGGAAAATTCTTATGCTGTACATAATGTCTGCTTTCACTCAATGGTGTTAAATCTGAGGGATAATTTTTGGTGTGTTCAGAATGTTTTTTTTGGGTAGGCAGGGTTGACAAGGTTAGCATTTCAACCGTCTTTTCTTGCACTGCTTGTCCGTTTTATATTTTGTTTTGTTTTTTTACCCTTATTTCCTCCCCATCTTCCCTTCCCGCTCCATGAGGTGGATGTAATAATGTATGACACCTTAGTGTTTGCTGCAGCTGGCAGAAGATCCAGTACTCGGCCTTTTTTAAAAAAAAAAAAACATAAAACAAAACTTGCTCAATTTCCGAATGTCATCTGGGCAAGTTTTCTCTAGTAATTCAAAACCACGGCACAAAACCTCACAAAGGGGTAACGCAGGCCATCTTTAGTGGGGTTCACTGTTGCACGTTCATCTGAAAAAAAAAAGGTCACTGCTTGTCATTGTGGTACAGAAAAGCCTGTGTCTATTTTAGGCCTTTACTGTAGATTTCTCCCGCGAAAAGAGTGAGATCCTGTCATCTCATGCTCCCCATCCGCAGGTCACTTCCTGCAGCAATAAGGACTAGCTTTGTCCCCGTGAGTACTCACCAGAGCCTCTATTGCAGCCTGTAGTGTAAGAACCACGCTTTGCAGTTTGCTAGTAAAAGTTTATACATGTACATGTTTGTGTCAATTGTAGCTTCTTTTTTTTATTATTTCAGAACTAGTATTGTGGTAGACACCTGTGCTGTTCAAAGCAGCTGGTCTTCTACTCTGTTGTCTGTGTGTTAGGGTTACTTACTTTACAGCCCAGAGGGAGATGGTAGAATTCACTTCCCACTCCAGGCGGCTTAAAGGACAACTCCTTTATGATGCAATATCTGCATTTTCTTGCTGATACTTTCCCCTAGCAGGTGAACAATTGCTGCAAGTATCCTTTCATAGAAAATATATATTTTTTAAACAAATCTGGAGGTTTGTAGCAAATGTTGGGAGAACACTCCTTTATTACCTTGGCACCACGAGTTGTTTTCTTCCAATAGCTTTTATTTTAGAGGGGCTCAGACGACTTCTCTAGTTTCTGTGATTTCTTAAAGCGCCTGTTCACATGTGCAGTTCCGCATGTGACAGGCTTTCCTGTAGGTTTAATTTCCATGGCAGTAATAGTCTTAGTACTGTGAATGAGTGGGTGCAAATGTATAAATTTCACCACCCTTGTGGATTTCATTAAGTATTCTAGAAGCAGTGGCCTAGAGCCTACATCATTTCTAAACACCAAAACCCTCTTTTATATTTGAATCCAACAAATATAGTTTTGTTTAAAGCAGAATGTGTTTTCCTATGTGAGCTGAAACATTAGGTTTCTCATCTTATTTACCCTATGTTTGTTTAGCTTAGACTCTAAGGCAAGTACATGTGAATGTCAGTGCCTAAATTGTAGTTTATAGGAACTCTACTGCTACATTTTTTCTGGAATGTCTGTGATATTATGCTTAACAACACATGGATTACACATTACAGTTATAAATATGCTTTTGTTTGTACTTTTTAAGCTGTATTTATGGCTTAGTGCCATTATATACAGTAACTCTTCAAAGTAACTTGTATTTTTCATAAGAAATGGGATAAGTACCCTTTTAGAAAGGGGTATTGTTAAGCACCCTTACATTTATTAATACATTTTATATGCTCTTTTTTGGCACAATGGTGTTGATAGCATTTCCGTACTGTTCTCTTAAACTTTGGGTAGCACAATTAAAATTCCTCTATACATACTATTGTAATAGTAATAAAGTTGTTTAACAAAAATCTTGTTTAATGCCATACCCATCATCATAAAAACAGCTTAAGGAGCTAAACAAAACATATCTTAAATACTGTAGATTATTAACTTATTTTTCGGAATATTTTTGCCCTTATTTTGTTCACTGTTGAATTGTGCCATCTCAAAACCTAAATGTTACCATTTTATTTCAGGGTTTACAGCAATTACAGCAACCAATCCCATCTGGCTTATAAAGACTCGCTTACAGCTGGATGCAAGGTAATAATAACAGTTCACATGAGTGAGAGATTAGTCTAAATGGTTCTGCATATGGACTACTGACAGATAACCAAGGTGTATGCTGTGTAAGAGAACTTCATGACTGAGTTAATACTAGCGGACTGAATTGCACTCTGCTGTTGAGACTCAGAAGCATGAGCAGTGGTGAGCACCGCTGTATTGAGTAACAGGTCATGGGGAAAGTAGGTCATGGGAGATGATATGTTCGTTGGGTAAACACAAAGCATAAAAACCAGTAAAACACCTTTCCTGAAGTGATTTATGAAATAAGAAAAAAAGGTAGACTAACGGCCACCCAAGGTTTTGACTCAAATTTCTTCTTATTTTGTTTTAATTAATTTGTAGCTTTCAGATATTAGGCTTCTAGGCCCAATAATTATAGTCTTTCAGAAAATAGGCTGCTAGGCAGTCACTGTATTTTTATTATGTTGTAGGGTTTAGTTTTATTTCTACTTTCTCAAATTGCTGGTGTTGAGAGGCGAGGCGTGGGAACTTCGTCCTGCACAGGTACACTGGGACAAACAAGCCGTTATATTTGTGACAAAGTGATTGTGTTTGATGCAGGACCTGATTTTTACCCTTGTATTTGAAACCACTTTCCTTAAAAACCACCCTACCAGATGACTGGAAACTTGCTAGACTTCAGTAAAGGACTTTTCTTGAGACCCCGCTGCTGTTCTTTTTCGGGGGCAGACTTTAGAACTAGTTTGGCTAAATGACTCCAACCTTTATGATTTTATAGGTAAACCAAATCGGCCACCTGACCACTATTTATTTTCTTTATTGTGGATATGTGGCCTGTAACACTACATTATTTATCTTCCTATGTAAACAAGTTTGGCCAATTAACCCCAACATGGCTAGTATCAGAAGGATCAGGATGAGATTAATACCAGGCTGAAAGGTAGATTTTTTTTTTTCAGTTTTTCAGCATGGAATTATCACACCTTTACAGGCCCTCATATTGATGCAGCTCCACTTCACGCCTAGCATCTTACCAGCGAGCACACTGTTAACATGAGACTCTGTCTCCTTCTTGCATAAACAGTACCAAGATGTCAAACCTCAAGCTGCCTCCTTTTATAACAAGCATTACATTGACTTAATAAAAAATACTCAGCAGATTTCTTGATAAATGAACACTGCTTTTGATCTACACATTATGCATTGCTGTAATAATTTTCTTGCCCACAGCGTGTCACCAGCTTGGTGAAACGACCTCTTGCACAATTTGCTACCATTTAAGGACTATTTGGCCAGCTAACGTATAGGGTATTGTTCTAGAGACATTACATTTCATACTGAAATGGGTCTGCTACACTGTACTGCCCAACTGACCACTCTTCTTGTTGAAGATTTCCAGTGACATTGGAAATACTGCATTGATTGAATTGAAACTCAGCAGGTTATATTACAACCAGATATGCTTCAGAACTTTACCTTGTAGTTTGCAGTGATAACTTTAAATGTCCACATCACTGGTCACGTGCCCCTTTTCCAAGTTTCCATAGGAACTGTTTGGCCATATAAATTTAAAGTAGGTAGGCAATCATTTAGTAACAATTTAGTCACAAAATGCAAATTAGTGTTCCTGCTTCTAACAAGATGGCTTTGACCACTATTTTGTTCTGGTTGGTATACATCCTGCAGTAAAAGCTGCTTTTGTACAAAAGCTGTTTAGTAGCCGACTGTTTCCGAATGTGGTAGGTATCTTTCTAGTTTTCCAATAGTTACTTAATTTTCACCCACTAGTCCCTGATTTGCTAGGGAGCTTTTGGAACTGCCTGCAGCTATCAAAATTAGATTATTCAATACATAAACATGTTGCCTTGAGATATGCTGTTTTGTGTTCTAACTTTGTAATATCTTTTCTCTTTGGTTGCAGAAACCGGGGTGAAAGAAGAATGAGTGCATTTGAATGTATCAGAAAAGTCTATCAGTCAGATGGGATCAGAGGTTTTTACAGGGGCATGTCCGCTTCCTATGCAGGAATCTCCGAGACTGTCATTCACTTTGTAATTTATGAAAGTATTAAACGTAAATTACTGCAATGTAAGACTGCTTCTAATATGGACGATGAGGATGAATCTGTGAAGGATGCATCTGATTTTGTTGGACTGATGTTGGCAGCAGCCACCTCAAAAACGTGTGCCACCTCCATAGCATATCCACATGGTAAGGACATACTTTGACCATAAATTACACTTCTATTTTATTACTTTTTTCAGTAACAGACCTTTTTTGTAATTTCTTGCCTCAGTGCAGGAGAGACGCTGCTTAACTATTCTTAAGTACATCAAACGTTAAAGTTGTCAAACATTACATTTGCTTCACAGCTCAAAAACAGACATTTTTGTTTTCAAGAATGTACATAGTGACATGTTAATGAAATTCCATTTTATTGAATTTTAAATTATCCAGATATCCTGGCAACAGGGAGGAAAAGGACAGAATTGTTGTTTAATGCTTTTGCTATTTTGTTTTTTGCAGAAGTAATACGTACCAGACTACGAGAGGAGGGAACCAAGTACAGATCTTTCTTCCAGACTTTATCAATGGTTATGCGAGAAGAAGGATATAGAGCGCTTTATCGTGGACTCACCACACATTTGGTCAGACAGATTCCAAACACAGCTATTATGATGTCAACCTATGAGCTTGTCGTTTACCTGCTGAATGGATAAGAACCAACAAGAGACCAAGAGAAAAGTTTGGAGACCAAAGGAAAAAGAGAGGACCAGGAATCGCCTAATCCTATTTGGTGTCAGGCAAGAATGGCAGGCTGGAAACTGGAAGTAAGGCTTATTAGCAGGAAGAGTATTAGACCAGTCCTGTGAAACCATGTCTTTCTCTCTGCCAAGGAGCTACTTCAGTAAAGCTTGTATAAAGAGGAATGGTTGAAACAAAAGAATAAAATCACATTTCCTATTACATACATTTCCTAATACATTTCCTTCTTCATATAAATGTGTGTAGGTAGTGGTCCCCTCCCTCTTCTGAAAGAGTGTGGTGAAACTTCAGTTGGATATGATGTGCTGCTGGGCAGTGGGATTGATTCACAAATGATCATTTTTAATACACATTTTAAACCTAATATTTTGTGGATCTGGGCTTGGTGTTGGTTTAAAGTTACCCTGAACATCCTTACACACCTGCGATTTCTGGTAGCAGATTTTTGTACAGTCTTAAGTGGGGAGATGAGAAATTTGAATTTAGCAGCACCTGTTCAGAAGTTGGGAGGCACAAGTAGTGTTGGATGTTTAAATGTACAAGACAGAAGGGAGGTTGCTTGTGTATTTGTGGTATTTGATTTTGACACTGTGGAGCAAAGCTGATAATTCAGAAATTATAACTCAGTTGTCTGTAATGTTTGGAAATAAACTTCGTTTCTTAGTACCATCAAAAGACATGGTAGGTTTTTACACTATGAATACTTGACTACGATATACCACATTTTAAATGCAGTCACACCAACTGTTTGTCACACATGTGTCACAAATTAAAGCAAAGCATCATATTTACAATTGGGCTTATGCATATGATGGATAATGTGATTTTAAAGTGTTTGTTTCAAGCATTTCTTGTTAAGGCTGTATTATCCATTTTAGTAAGCAATATAGCTTGCACCCTAAGCTTTGAAAAGGTTTAGTACTTTCTGTGGCTTGCAAACTCAAGGAACTCACATTGAGTTTTCATCATAACATTTGACATCACTTTATGTTAACATTAATGTTCCACTCGGTAAAAGTGGTGATGACATAAATCTCTTTATTTTTAAGGTTAGAATACTGGATTCAGAATAAGCCTTAAATGATTTTGCTGCCAGTAAAATGGCGTATTTGTTAATGCTGTGTATGTTCTAGTGCATCAAGATTCCAATGCAGTGCATTTGTCATTGACAAACTGGTACTTGAAATCCATGTGATTAGTTTCTGAAGTGTTACTTTTTAAAATTTATATAAATGACTAAAAAGGTTAACTAAAGTGAATACTGTATACTGGATGCATAGGTAGGTTACAGTATCATGGAAAGGCCCTAAGTATATTAAGGTTTTATTTGATAATGTACATAACTGTAATTCTTTCAATTCACTAATAAGATTTTAAAATATTTTAAGATAGAAGTTCAACCTTTTACTCTTACCAAACCGAAAGTCACAGTTTCTGGCAGTACTTGAGATCATGGAGGTTTTCACATACCTTCAACTCTACATAGAACTGGGAAAATGGTAGGAAATATGTTTTTTTTCCAATTTTCCGTGATGATAATGAAGTCTGATGCTCTTAGGCACTAATTTACTGCTCTCTAGCTTTGAACTAACAACAGTTGTCCATCTTGGTTACTTGAATGTAAGGTTTGATGAAGTTCAGCGGTGATGTTAATGCAAAGCAAGCCCATCAGCAAACTAAAAGTACTAAAAAATACATATAATCCTGTTATTTAAGGTTATTTGTTTTCTGTTAAAAGAACTTAAACATTTATCCATCTTTAAAGAATGACCATGTTCATGTGAATGGTGAAATCAGTCTATAGATGCCAACACACTGGGAAGTACACACTGTATGAGTTGCGCAGCTAGAGTTCTTCCCCCTTGGTAAATTGTGACCTTGCAATTTATGCAGTGGCTCCAGATTGGTTTCTTATGCACTTTTTGGCCTTTTTTGGCTTGATGATTTCTTTTGTTTTTTTTTAAGTCATTTATTATCAAGGAAAGTGTTAAGCAGTGCGAAATCCTGCTCAATGATTCCTTTGAAGATATTGTACAGTTCAGTTTACTGATTAGTGCAGGATATGTAAAAGTGTCATTTGGTTAGATTTGCTGATCCGTACATTTTACAGTAGCTTGCAGTTATTAAATCCTTAAAAAACATGCTGTTGTTTAATATTTAAGATGCGTTTAAAACTGTTGCAATATGGCATAGAATTTTGCATTTCTGTTTCTGCTGCTTTCCTCTCCCTTTTGATTGTCACTTTTGATTTAATGACATGCTGACTTTGGACACCTACTTGATCAGCTGGTTTGAGTTCTGATTTCTTGACCACCTGTTTGTGTCATATCTGTTTTCCTATGATATTCAGCGTTCCTCTCCTTTCTGGATGTTATATTTGCATTCACATCTCCTTTTCATGGAAATAACCCTCCATGTTTAGCGTAATTGTACATATAGGTTTCCAATTTGCCTAGATAAGAATTGCAGTTCTGCTTTTGTCACTACAATGTATCCACTTCAGAAACTCCCTGGATTATCCTGGTAGACCTAATTTTGCAATAAGAGGTTGTAAAAACCAAAGGAAATTGGTAATTTTGAATGTATGTTCTCCTTAAAGGATTGTTGAGCTCTGTATTGTGAAGCTGTATTAAGATTCAGGTTTCTTGAGTGGCTTAACCTCTTGCCCAGGTGTCCAGGTTGAGCGCTCTAGTCCAAGGGTCATGGGTTCGAGCCTGGGCCATGTCGCCAGTCGACTGTGACCGCGGCACACGATGGCTACCAAGACCATGGTGGGATCAGTAAGGCAGGAAGTGCTTCTCGAAGTCGGTCCTGAAAGTCTAGAACGGGGCTGCGTAACCTATTAAAAGGCAAGTGTCTCAGACATGGGTGGACTGAAGAAATCTGCCACCACTACATCATTTCCCCCATGTGAGGCTGTGGGGTTTGTAACCTTGAGCAGAGATGAAAGAATCCCAATTGGCAAACCCATTCCAGAAACTAGTTCTACTTTACTGTTTAGAAATAGTATTGAAGATCCTGTACTGTTTGTTTGCTTTATCATGTTTCACAGTGGTTGAGTGTCCTCCTCTCATTGGTTAGATTTCCTTTTTTTTGTTTTACCAAGCAAGCAATGTTAAAACTTGACGCCCGGACTGGATGTCTTCGAGCCACTCGAGTCCGAGGCCTCTCTAGTGACGTGACTTGGAGCATAGCATTGAACTCCCACATGTAATAACGCCAACAGCACAGGATCTTTATCTAAAGACACGTTCTTGGAAGTTTTGTGATGCGGTACTGACTGACCCTTTAATAATGTAGGAGGAAGTCATTTTCAAGAAGCCAAAACAATATTGAAAACACAATAATGTTTTGTGCGGATTGATGTCTGCCATGGTTTACAACATCTTTTTTGAATTATTGGGACTTTTTCCTTTCTTTGGCTCTTCTGCTTTCATTTTCGAATGATGAAAGCACTTCTGAGTTACTGATGCTCTGTTCAGGACCCTATGGCTTAAAACAAGGCATTGAGTGAATCATCTCCGATGTGCTTTTTTGGAATTTCCACCTTTTTCTGAAATGTCTTTACATTTTCTCGGTGACTTTGATGGGAAGAATTTTAAATAAGCAATGAGGACATGACCATGTTAAGAAATCAGTATAATCTAGGAAAGGCCTATACAAATGTTTTAGTGTCGCGTTTCTTAGTTACTGCAGAACGGACTCATTCAGCCAGAAATGATGGTCTATACTTTCTTTTGGCATCTGTGGTCTCTCAGATGTTTTTAGCATTCTATTTCTGTTCTGTAAAAGTGAAATATACTCCAGAATTATAGAGGCAAATGCAAATATGATTTCAGACAGATTGTGCTCAATTCTTGTGCAGGCTTTTCTTTTTCTTACAGTTTTGGGAGGCTTCCATGAATTGTATTAAGTAGTGATTGCATTTGTAACTCTGCCATTCTATAGCTATTAGTTTACTCAATGGTGATAATTTGTACAGTTGTAGAATACAGCAGTAGGATAATTTATGCAAGTGGGTCTTTTTACATCATTTTAGCCCTAAATCCAGGACTGTGACTACTAATTTTCTGAAACAGGTAACCAATGCTGGAAGTATGTACAGTAGATAATGGGAACTAAGCATTTCTTGTGCAGTATTGTCAAAACAATAGTGGGTAGTAAGACTAATTAAAACAAACAATTCTAGTTGTAGTTTCATCAGGCTCAATATTTAAATCTTTTGCAGGCCTACATTTGGTTACTCTCATTGATCTGTGAAGGACAATTTATTTGACCTATAACTGATGTTTTGCTGCTAAACATGCTGAAGTACTACAATTTACGAGCACAAATGGGTGCAGATGTAAGTCACAGGGTGCATTAAATTCCTTTGTTTAATGGGGGAGGTACCTGACCTATAAAGCAGGCTGTGAAAAGGCCTTATAACATATGTGACAGTCCTGGATCTCGCTGTGTGTTTTACCATTGTTAAACTGGGTACTAGTCTGTTTTCTGTACTATTTGTACTCTATAATAATGTCTGGTTGGAAAAAGCCTCTTGTATCCAGAAGGTGGTGCTACACTGCTTGTTGGATAACACTACTAGAAATTCCCTAGTCAGCCTGTGATGCATATGTGTAATTCTACCCTTAACAGTGTTTTTATTTTTGTTTTGTTTTTGAGCCTGAAAAAAAGAGGTGGCTAATTGGCCAATTCAGTGCCCCACTATGCATTATCATACCTCCTTTTGTACAAAAAATAAAAAAATAATGCAAACCAATTGATTGCAGTGTATTTGTTTTGCTTTGGTTCTTTTTTTCTTCAAATGTTTTAGTGACCTAAACGCTAGCCTGAAAGTAAAGGATTTACTGCTACAAAAGTTAAGTTAAAAGAAAGTGTGGTAAATGTGTATAATACTCATGAACATTGATCTTTTAAATTAGTTATTCAGTAATATCTACACAGTTGAAACCGCACAACCATTACTTAATACAGTAAGTAGTAGTTTTTACATGTTTTGCAAGTTTAACTTCAAGCCAAAATCTGCTATACTTCAGACTTCATTGTGGGTGTAGTTATTAGAATTGCTCTTAAATATATGAAACTGGATCTCTAACCATATAGTAAGTCTATTGACTTATAAGGGTGACTTTTATCCTGGCTATCATACATTCTCAAACATTCACTGAGGGTTTTTAGCAACACCACATATTGCATTGTTGCCATTAAATAGTTCAGACCTCTGTAACGTCACAAGATATGTAAAGTGTTGGAAGCAGGGACGTTCGTTTCCTGTACGCAGTTGATCATTTTTTAATCCATGTTCTCAGTTATGCCCACTTGATGGCAGTATAGAGCACGTCACAGTTTTAACACGGAGAACTGCGAAAGTTTGGATAAGCTACACGCTCTACCTTTCTATTTCATCCTCGTGTTGAAATCGACGTTCTGTTTAATTATGAACCGTTATGCATTCTGCTGACAAATATAGCCTTTCTATAACCCAGGAAAAGAACTGGAAACTGGCAGAAGTTATATGTTCTGACTGCAGGTGCTCCCTTTTTTTTAGGTAATTTGTAGCTGATTTATTCCCTCCAAGATCACTTCTTTCACAGCAGATGAAATGAGCAGCTGGTGATGAGAAGGCAGCTGATTTTCAATTTCTTTCTTTCTTATGAGAAAGCTGACGTGCAAATGCATTTCCTTGGCTTCTCTGCTTGAAGTTTATGACTATTAAATGGAATGATTTTGACTCCAAAGGGCCTAGGTATAGCATGTCATCATTTGCCTTTGACAGACTCGCTTATTTTTGGTTAGGACAAGGGTTTTTATTTTTTACTCTGATTTGAAGAGCTGAGTTAAGACCTTGTGGATAGAAAAGGGTATGTTTATTGTGGAGCCTCAGGCATATTTTGAACCCCTTTGAAACTACCTTTAGAAATACCATAGATGTACTGAAAATAAACATCTTATGGCACCCCCTTCTTACAGACTCTTCTTTCTCTTTACACAGCTCCAGTGAGCAGGAGGCTGTCTCAGCAGGGACAAAGAAGCGCTACACCCTGGACAGGATTCACAAACATCCACCCTTCCATCCATTTTTTATAACCACTTTACCCAGTACGGGGTCCTGGGGGAGCCAAAGCCTATCCCTGCAAGCAATGGGCTCAAAGAAGGATACAGCCTGGATGGGACCCCAGTCTTATCACGGGGCACACCAGGGTCAATTTTCCCAATTAAACAGTCAATTAACCTACCAATGTCTTTGGACTGTGGAAGGAAACCCATGTGTCCACAGGGAGAACATACAAACTCCACAGACATATTGGGGCAACTGAGAAATGTCAGCACCTCTTTGGGAGGAAACCAGAGCACTCTGTGAAAGCCTATGTGGACATGGGGAGACCATACAAATCCAGGACCCTTGAGGTGTGAGGCAGTAGCACTGTGCTGCCCTAATTGTTTTGTGTTGTTGGAAAGTATTTTCATATATGACATCTTTAGGTAAGGACACATTCTATATGAAATGCATTTGAGGCTGTCTCCTCAGTGCTTAGTCTCGTCCAGCCTTCAGAATGCTTTTTTTTTAGCTCAATCCTGGCTACAGACAACAGTTTGCAGGATTAAGGGTCATATGCAGACAGCAAGTCCTCTTTTTTCCTAGGAACTTAGCCAATCCTGGGTAAGACTGATGTGCATCATAACTGACCTGAAATGCCCTTCAATCAGACACAGAAGTAGAGAATTTTACTCAATTTTGTATTTGACCTGGATGTAAGGGAAAAGTGGATTCATGTGTCCTTCTTCAGTGCAAAGTCCCCACATACACCTTCAATTGATTAGAGGCTAAAATACACTAAGTGTTATATGCAGTGTTGAAGACTACTGCTTATAATACACAATTTATTTTAAATAGTATTGTTCAGTATTTTATTTTACTTGGTTTCTTTTTGTACTACAGAGAAATTTATTAAAGCATTTTGTATTACATTGAAAAAATTAACCATATACTATATATACTCCCCCACGACCCTGTATTGGATAAAACAGAAAATAGATGGCTAGTGTATATACCGCAATGGAAAATAAAGGTAGTATTCTAAACTCATACATTTGCAAAGTAAATATCAGGAACATTTTTTACTTTTTGTAGAATAACAAGGTTGATCAATGGGAGGTATACACTGAATTTCTCAGGCTAGTGTGTAGCCACTCTTGCAAGCAATACAGGTCATACATCTGTGATGCATGCTTTAGTCAGTTGAAGATCCTGACTTGTGGGGATCTGTCCCATTCAGTTCACTGGTCTCTGAGCCCAAAATGCAACGCACCCCAGACTCCCCCCAAAAATCTGAGTGATGAAGTCTGGTCAGTGAGCCTAAATAGAGAGACTCTGCACTACATTTCCCAACATATTAGGGATTTTTTCATCCATAACAAAGCAGAATAATGGATGGTTCTATTTCAATGGTGATTTACAAGTTTCAAACTGTAAAATAGTTTAAAAAACATTTGAAAAGCTTTAATGTGTTAGACAGACATGCACTTTCGAAAGAGGAAACTGTGCTTTTGAAAGAATGTCAATATTATACTATTATACAAAATTGTTCTTTCTGCTTTGCTTTGAAGGGGTAAAGCGATTCACATTCTAGCAGATATTTAAATGAGCATGATCTTTGCTCCTTCCTGGATCTGCAATCTCAATATGAGTTACCTGGCTTCATTTTCACTGGTGTCCTCTTTCTGCAAAGTATGCTTTTTGAATTCCCTGAAGGGAAACGATGTCTATATACTCATTGTATATACAGTACATGGAGTCATTGCTGGTGCTGGACTCCAGGGGCGACACAAAGGAACTGACTTCCTCTGTGTTCTTCGGTTAGAGGCTTCGCAAATCTTTAGCAGCTGTTGGTTTTTGGAATAGGGCCTTAAACGTTACAGATAAACACATTCCCTAAAACTTTAAATTTAGCTTCCAAATTTTCAGGTCATGAAAGGATTTATATAAAGTGTCCTCACAAAGCGTGTGTGATCCCTTGTTGGTCATTTGAAGGTAGTCGCTAATTTCCTGTGTATACTCTGCTTATGAGCACTTTTTTCACAGTGGAACAGGTAAAGGTTTATTCCATGCTGAAAGGAAAAGAGAAACAAAGTTTCAACTGTGCAGTATTCTTCAGTTGTGAAACCTGAAGAAGGCCCCACAGCTGAAATGTTGTTTCTATTTTCTTTTCCTTTCAGCATGGAATAAACCTTTACCTGTTCCTTTGCAGGCTATGCTGCACACTGGTGGTTGTGGAGGGGAGTCCCCACTACCTGTAAAGCGCTTTGAGTGGAGTGTCCAAAAAAGCGCTATAGAAGTGTAAGCAATTATTAATTATTATTATTATTATTATGCATGTTGATGCAACTACCTCTCGAACGTTTCTGGGAATGTTCTGATGTGGTTAAATTTTGGAAATAGTTTTTGGAAGGATTTTCCTTCATCTCCTCTAATTCTCTTTTGAAACGTTAAATGTTGAAATAGATTTAGTTGTCTCGTTTCATTGCACCTTGAAAGTCATTAAAAATTAATGTATCCTGTGCTATCTTGATATCATTTATATGGAGCTTACTACTGCTGGAATGGGTCGTGTCAGAGGGAGACAGGGAAGCCTGGAGTACTGCTGCAGTTGAACAGCACTCCCTATCACATGTGTCTGGGTCCTGCATAGTTCTGGTAGTGTTAAAATCAGGATGTTCTATTATATCCTGCTAGAACAAAAGAAAATACTTCTCCAGCCCCAAATATAATATGTGCAATCTATTCAAGAGTGCATTGTATTTTGTTTTTTTTAACAATATAAAGACATGAGCAAGAGGGGATATTTTCAGTGAAATCCTAATAATTTCTGATCAGTTACTGTATAAAGTCTCTGACATTATTATAAAGATGTTTTCCCATAGGCTTGAGAGATTTAATAGCTGACTACTCATTTAGGCTTGATTTATTACGGCTGCGCAGGTACTGTACTGTAGGCTCTGTGTATCTCTTAGCTATATGATCCCTGCCTTTTCCTTGAGTACATCTTTCTCATGATGATTTTGTGTTATGTATCCACATTTTTCATTATTTCTACAAGATGTGGCATTGGATATCTAACCTGCAAAAATAACTAAAAATAAAGCTACACAAAACCTACATGTCTGGAGTGCCTCTGTGAACATGACAGTGAGGAGCCTCACATTTATGGCCCCTTTATTGTCATGCTCTAATCTTTCTTTTCACTTTAGTGTAACTGTTCCAATCTTTGTTGTGCAGATGTGTTAGATGATACACGGCTGTACTTTATGAAGGCTTGTGGAGTGAAGGTTGTTTCTGAGGGACAGATTAATATGGCAATAAACTTGGATTTTTTCACCCTAAGAAAGGTTTTAATGCTCCCTAGGTGATGTGGCTGTCAGCAAGCTAACTTAACCACCATGCAATGACTACAAATTATGACAGAATGTGAAAAAGTTCTTTTCAGTTCCAGAATGCGGATGCCTTTTCAGTGAGATAGGTGAAAGGCTACTCAATTATTCCTACATCCACACTGAATTTGTGTTTTTTTTTCCAACTTGTCTTCTCTCCCACCTGTATGTAACCTTGTGCATTACAAAAGGCCAGTTTTCTGTCTTATTCCTCAGTACAGATCCCTTAAATGTAGGAACAAGGGAACATATTTGACCCATTAAAAGTAGTATGCCCTTTGTTTTCCCCATTTCACTTCACGGATCTTCCAGGCTGTATTTTTCCTCTGGCGCT